CTAGTAGTTTATGACAGTCAAATCCTATATCAGGTAAAGTAGACTCTGCTGTGGAGAGGTGGTAGTAGTTATAGTATGAATTAAGCTTACATTTTAGCTGTTAGACATTTCCGTCTTGAAAGTCCCGGTGAGTAGCGGAGCCTGGGAAAAAATTTAGCTAGTGTCAAAAGATCTAATTAATAAAAATCAAGTTAGTGTTAATATTGTATCACTTTTAAAAATCTAATCAATAACAAAGCTAAACCATAATTTTTAAGAAAACATATGTAACATTTTTCAATAGCCGGTGTCTTGGCACCAGCTAGCCACTAAATAGGAATATAGTCGACAAGCAAAGCCCACATGACTTTCTTCTGTGTTTATCCCGCATCCCATTGTCAATCCCTCTTAGTGTGTCTAGCACAAATTTTGGTTGTGTCAGTGGTTGTTAATTAAGTTTATATGGAAGGGTGCTAGATGAATTCTACCGATGATCGAAGGGGGAAATCCTACTTATGATCTTAATAAAGGGAAGAAAATATATAAATCGTGTGATCATAAAGTCTAAGATTCTTTTTAAAAACAAATAATATTTAAACACTCACACATATATATAGATATGTGTGTTTCTCTGTGTGCGCACGCGCATAGACATATACTAGTTCTCTATATAAATCAAGCATTTGGTCTATTAGGAGGTTGGTGAATTCGTTCTTCAATTTCATTTTTCAATGATCATTTCTCAATTTTGTTTCTCTCTTTCTCATAGCATCTGTGTTCGACTCAACTTGTGTGTGACTCAATTTGTGTGCGTGAGTGTAGGGACGGAATGCAGAGAGTGGGGAAGGAAAGAGACAAAGAAAAGAGTGTGTTAAGAGAGAGAAGCTTTTTGGAATTTTTTTGATGTGCTTATCCACGTCTAACAGGTTTCTTATAACAAAATTCAAACATGCTTTCTACATTACAGTATTAAAATTGCAACAACCAGAAAATTAACAAGGGCTGTGTTAGCTCTGAATTTTAACTGATTTAGCGATACATTTTTCCTATGCTATTGGGCTGTGTATAGTTTCAAATGCAGGTGAAAAATGGGCAAATTGTAAGGAATAGGCCCATAATGAATTTATCGTATCTTTTCTGATTGAAAATTTTGTTAGTTTAATTTCCAGAATTAAAAGTTGATTTCTTGTAATTTAAGAAAGATTAGAATAGAATATAAAAAACTAAACTAAACAAATCGTTACATGAGAACGATTTTGATCTTTGGATCCTTATACTAACAGGCTGGACCTCATGACAATTGGGCCTAGGTATTTACTGCATATAATCAAATGGGTGGGTAACTTGGCACTCTCTTCTCTGCAATTGGCGTGGGTTTTGTGTGGGCTTGTATCCCAACAGTGAGCGTGTGCGTGTGTGGACATAGACATATCCTAGTTCTATATATAAATCAAGTATTTGGTCTATTTGGAGGTGTTTTTGATTCATTCTTCAATTTCATTTTCCATTTCGTCTCTTAATTCTGTTTCTTTCTTTCTCATGGCATCTGTGTTCAACTCACAATGATATAATGAACCTCAAATACCCCCATGCTGAGAACATCAATGACTCTTACACCACATCCTCAATTGCTTTTATGCTGCAAACCAGCACATTTACTGTCAATCACTCAATTCCGATGAGGCTTAATTGGAAGAATTTTCTTCTCTCGATGCAATAAGATTCAGTTGCAAATCATGATCACAAGCTCCAAAAATTCATCGAAAGAGCTACCGCAGTTCTAGAAAGAAAAATGTCTCCAAATAGTTCAATAATATAATCAACAAAGTCTATTTAGAATATTAAGCATGGGACTGTAAGACTAATTGCTGCTTTCATGAATCCTGTCTTCAATATCTAATGAACCGGGTCATTAGGATCCAAATTAAGAAACCCAAAACTCAAACTATTATACATTAAATTTCGTTGGGCTGCCCAAAAATAAGTTGGTTCGGTTTAAGTTTCTTGGTTGATCGGGTTAATCCAAGTCAATTAACACCCTTAGTGGCAAGTTATTAGATTGTATATAACAAAAGTTCCGCTGGTTAGTTAGTCGTTAGCAATGGAAGTTAGGTTGTGTATTGTGTCTATAAGCTAAGCATCGATGTAATCAAAGGTTGATTTCATCTTTCAATTCTATCTTCTTCTTTTCTCCTTACTTTTATATTTAACTAATTCTTATATATTTAACTAATAGTGTAGACTGTAGAGCAAAGGAAATCTCTTTCTCCTAGGCTAGAATAGATAGCAGTTCCAATAGATTATTTTCATCCCCTTTCCTATTTGCGGAGTGACCATAGATGCGGCCAAGTTTAAAACTAATCTCTTAATTTGGTGGGCTTTCACCAAGGCTGCTTTCCCCGCGCAAGCCCATTAGAGATAGGAGCACCAGCAATTTCGGCCTGCTAATCGTTGAATATAAATTTGTTTGTGAGTACCACAAATGGCCAGGGAACCATTGACTACAATTGCTGTGTCTATAACACTACTAGTGCAGGTCCCTACCATATTTTTATGAAAACGTGAAGATGGGTGGATCATTAAGGCTAGGAATTGCTTAGGAACCTTCCAATTCGTAGACTAATCACTTACTTAGTGGCATCGAAGCAAAAAGCAAGTTGCTTACTATCTTATCCGCTTGGTCTTTATTCCCAGCTAGCTTGAAACGCTGGGCGCACATTAAAAAATGTGCGTTTAGGTAACTGCTCCCCCACCTCTCTCCTGCCTCAAATATTAACTATCTTAAATATTACTAAACATTCAAAGCATCACGAGAATAAGCATTTTCAATATTAATTGACTCCGCTGATTAAATTACGTTAGCTTTGTAAAGGACCATGGCATGACAGGCACACAGCTATACCCGCTCCCTTCATCGCAGACAAAGTAATGTAATGGTTATGTATATAATAAATGGGTTTGTCTAAGGAGTTCCCTAAAAATATTGGTTAAAATAAATTAAAATTGATAAGTATCAAATAAAAAGTAAAACATTTAATGTAAGGAGAGTTCAAAAAAATTATGTTTAATTCAATTTTTATAATATTGTATATTCCTTAAAGGGCTTATGTTCCTAAATATATTTTAGACATATATATTATGTCTGTGCAAGTTTAAAACAAAACTGACACAGTCCCGGGTGCATGCAGCATAAGAAGCGTTGGGTTGTCTTTGAGACTATCTGGAAATTATGCCATTGTAAGCGGACAAGAAGCAATAATTTCCCCCGTATTACATTACATGTAAAACTCACTTTAGAAAAAAAAAAAAAAAAAAACAGTGCATTGCTCGTGATCCCAAGCTTTTTTGTCATAATTTAATTAAAATAATAGTCTCGTTCGTGTGATCTATAGTTATGGATAGCAAAATCAATTATAAATTAAAGACTTGGTTTAAGTACTACCTACTGGCGTTGCTGTTTTCCATTCAATGGTGCAACGTATTTGAGTGATCATTAAAAATGAGAAGGCAAAACTATTCTTAAAATCGAACCCTTACACTACCTTAATGACTCACAAAATCTGTGATTTGTATGTACTGGATTAACTGAATTATTTTGAAAGGGATATTTTCTATTAAAATAAGCAAGAACAATCGTAGTCTTTTCTTAAAAGATGTGGTGACTATATAGATCAAATGATGTTATTGTTTGTTGTTATGAACCAAATAATCATAAATTCTATTTAGATCGTCGACTAAGTTCTTTGCAATTGTTTGACCAAGAGTTGTTTTTCTTTTTTCCTCTAACTATACAATTATTCTACTTCAGATTAGTAGTCTTATGGGTATTTTTATTGGTGTTTTTTCATAGGGTTATGTTTATCTTATTTTACATGAAATAAACATCTCTCCTACACACACAAAAAGGGTTGGGTCCCACCACTTTTTTCTCTCTCTCTCCTCTTACATGTGGGTCCCACTTATACTTTTATTTCTACAACATGAGGTAATTCTTTTCCTACAACATAAGAAAAATATATCCCTTTTTCATATGATGAAACCACTCTTCTCATAAAAGAAACAAAAAAATAAAATTCTTAATTATATAATCAAACAAATTGTAACAGTACCCACGGGTCAAGTTCATAGTACACGGGGGGAGTAGAGTATGCAAGTTGTAAGCTCACGTGCTTCCTCGGATACCCACAGGAACAGCCACAGCCATCGATAAGCTGCCATTGCGTAAGTGCCAGTTAGATGCGTGGGCGTTTACCTAGAGAATACATGGCTTCCAGACTGTCACCTCAACCTCAACCTCAACCTCAACGTCTCTCTTTGCCTCTCCTGATAATTTAATAAAACACATTTCTTTTTAAATGTTCACCACACACCCCCACCGCGCTACACACGCTCATCCAACGCAGGTTTTTGTTTAGTGCGTGTAATAAATTACAAGTAGTAGCAACTTGGATTAGGATTAGACTTACGAATAAAGAAACGCGCTATATAGTAACCACTGGGGGGGCCCTCCTACCTTTTTCTTATTGGTTAACTCGTGGCTCATAAGTCATAAGTGCTAGAGCAGAAGGGTCAAGGATAACCATCTCCGACAACCAAGACAAATTGTCTCTTTCTTGGCCATCAATTAGTACCTACCTATACCAGGTTCCTTTCTAAAGTGGAGTTGGAAAAACACATTTTGGTCAATAAAAAAAGGTTTAACTTTTTTTTGGCGAAAAAGTTTGTTTACACTCTACACTCTCGTAAATAAAGAAATGGCTCAAAATAAAAATTAGAGTGAGTCTCATATAATAGATTTAGTTTAAATTTTTTTGCCTGTATATGGTCCCGAAAAATATATTGTATGTGTCTCCAACAACTCTAGAAATATTTTTCACATAAAATATTCCCCCATATAAACCCAAATGCTCAGCTCGGACCTATATATATATAAGCCTCTCCCATATTTCCCTCAATTCACAAACAAAATTAACAAACAAGCTATCTCAGCTTACTGATTTCAAAAAAGGCATATTTGAAAAATGGCATTCTCCGTTTCTTGTCAAAGCTTTTTTAAAATCTTCCTTCTCATATCAGTCTTTCAGCTCTCTTTCGCCACCAGGAGGTTGAATGAACTGGTTAAGGATCAAACTCAGCTGCTTCATTACCACAATGGCCCTCTTCTATCTGGAAAAATCCCCATTAACCTTATCTGGTACGGCCAGTTTAAACCAACCCAGAAGGCCATAATCTCCGATTTCGTCACCTCGTTGTCGTCATCCTCACCGGCTCACAGCACCCAACCCTCCGTCGCCACGTGGTGGGAAACCACCAAGAAATATTCCGATCTCAGCAAGAGGAAGCTGCCTTCTCCTCTTTCCCTTTCATTGGGTAAGCAGATTCTCGACGACAAATACTCGCTGGGGAAATCACTCACTCACGAGCAACTCGTGGAGTTGGCTTCAAAGGGTGATCAACAAAACGCCATCAACGTTGTTCTGACTTCCGCTGACGTGGCCGTGGAACGTTTCTGCATGAGTCGGTGTGGGACTCACGGTGGCAAGAACTACAAGTTCGTTTACATCTGGGTTGGGAATTCTGAGACTCAATGCCCTGGTCAATGCGCATGGCCATTTCACAACCCAATATATGGACCCCAGAGCACACCGTTGGTTGCCCCAAACAATGACGTGGGTGTTGATGGAATGGTGATTAACTTAGCTAGCCTCTTGGCTGGGACTGCCACCAACCCATTCGGAAATGGGTACTATCAGGGTCCGGCTGAGGCGCCACTCGAAGCTGCATCGGCATGTCCTGGGGTTTATGGGAAAGGTGCTTACCCTGGCTATGCTGGAAACTTGCTCCTGGATTCTTCTAGTGGCGCTAGCTACAATGCGCAAGGTGCTAATGGGAGGAAGTACCTGCTTCCTGCTCTGTATGATCCTTCTACATCGTCGTGTTCAACACTAGTGTGAGAACTACTATTTTATCAGAAACGGGGGGTTAATATGAATAGGTTGTATAAGCATTATGTAGGGAGCGATTCATTAATTTTTTTTTTATTTATATTTTCATTATGAGGATTCGTAATATAGAAGCAAATTTATGCTGGTTTGCTTTTAAATATTAGTATATTTACTTTGAACCAAAATCTGCTTGGAATTTTCGTCCATCCTTTCTTTTCTTTTCTCTGATTTGGGATGTTTTGGGGTTAACAAAAGTGCACGGAAATCACTTCAACCTCGCCTTGTTATACGAGCAGCAATTTTATTTTATTTTAACTATTGAGCATTCCCTCTTGTTATATATATATATATATATATATATATGGGAAAAACACTTCTCATGACATGAGAAGTCTCCTCTCCTATCACTTTCATTTTGACGTCTGTGTCAATTATTTTTTTATTTTTTATTTTTTACTTTAAGGTGGACCTCACTCCTTTCTTTCTCTAAGAAAACTTGAATTTCTCATGCAACATGAGAAATTGCAAGTCCTATATATATATATATATATATATATATATATATATATATATATATATATATATAAAGTCTTTCTCATAAGTGAAAAGAAGAGCACAGCCAAATTAACACATAATTTTTTTGTCACCAAAAAAAGAAAAGAAAAAAACACAATTTTTCATCGATATGCATTAATCACACATAAAATGTCGAGGAGAAATGAAATTATTTTATAAAATGAAATTTTCTAAATTTGCAAGAAGATCTTGCATGCTGATTGAACTATCGTGGGTCAAGCTTTTAAAAAAATTACCAGTTTGGTGCAAATTTTAACTTTTTTTTTCGAGTACAACAGGATTTATGAAGTGGATCAAATTGATTTTTACCGGTATTTTTTTAACTTTTTTTTATTTTAGAGTAAAGTACCTTTTGACTCCTAAACAAATATTAAGAGCCCAATTTAATACCTTAAAAAAAAGTTGACTTGAGGTCCTTCTGAAATTTAAAATAGAGCCATATTAATCCTTTTGAAGAACTAACGTAGGTCTTTTTTGAATTCAGAGGGGCCTTATTTTCACTAACTAGGTTTATTTTAAATTTTAGAGGGACAACATGTCGACTTTTTTTTCTAAGAGATTAAAATGAGCCCCCTAATTTTAGTTGAAGATCCAAAAGATACTTTACTCATTATATTATTACAGGGTTCGCTTTTTCTACAGTCAATGTAGATGACTTATCTACATTGAGCCCAAAACGACTTCGTTTTGAGGCAGAAATCTAGTTATTTTTGTAATTATAATTATTTCAGGGTTATAATATCCTTTTTCATTATAATATTTTAATTTTTCAACCCAAAACGACGTCGCTTTGGGAGTGAATGTAGATAACTTATCTACGTGCACTTTACAAACATTAAAGCCATTATTAAAAACTATATTATTTTAATTATTTTGGTATTATATTATGGGGAAGGATATTATAACAACCAAATTATGTTACTACCAATCAATCTCACCGTTAGATCGATTATGTTGATCCAACGGTTATATTTATTTTCATCTTTGTATGGTCATGATTTTCCATATTTAAAGTGAAAGCATTAAATATGAGAAATCATAACCATACAAAGGTGAAAATAAATATAAAGTATTAAATTTGGGAAATCATGACCATACAAAGGTGAAAATAAATATAACCGTTGGATCAACATAATCGATCTAACGGTGAGATTGATTGGTAGTAACATGGTAATAACACAACTTGGTTGTTACAATATCCTTCCCCTTATATTATTGGGTTCGCTTTTTCTGCAGTTACTGCAGATAAGTGATCTGCAGTAAGCCTAATACGACGTCGTTTTAGGACAGAAATCATGGTGTTTTTGTAATTTTAATTTATTTCAGGGTTATAATAGTCTTTATATTTATAATTTTTTAAGATTTAAATATCAAATCGACGTCGTTTTGGAAAAAATGCAGATAACTTATCTGCATTAACTACAGAAATATTTTTCCCTATATTATATTATTTCATATTAACCGTAATTTATTTTAACCTAGTGATGAAGACCTGAGATTTGGGGAGTTAAAAGAGTGAGGGGCTTTGACTTGGCTTGTGTAAACTTGGTCTGACCTGTCTATTTTGATTGTCTGATATAGATTTAGACTTATATAAAAGCTCATTTAATAAAAAGGTCATAGGCTGCAATTTTAAAGCTCGACCTTAAGTCTATTAGGCTAGCCTGATATACTAATTCTCATTTTTATTTTATATTTTTTATACTACTCATTTATTAAACCCAACTTAATCCATTATCGTTTTTGTTGTCTTATTTTTTTAATAGGTTAATAGACTAAGACAAGTTTTTTTTTTTTTTTTTTGTAAATAAGTTAACTTACAGAAAGATAATTATATTCATAATAGGTTACAGACTAGGGCAGTCTGACACATTTAAACACAGACTTAATATTTCAAGACCAAAGCTCAGTTCATTAACACCGATACATGAGATGTAATAATTATTATTAAATTAATAATTAATGTAATAATAATTTATATAATTACTATTTTAAAATAATAATTAAAATATTTTATTATCCGTGTATGATATTTTTAAAATTATTATTTTCATATATATTTATTGCTAGAGAGTATGAAATTAGTGCCAATTTATATACAATTTATTTTAATAAAGAGATGGATCGGACGGGCTTAAATTGAACAATCAAATGTGCGCCACGTATTAAAATTTTGCCAAACACAATAAAACGTTAAAATTCGCATCACACAAATAAATTGATTTTGTTTTTCAAAATTAACTTACAATGGTCAATCAATCAGTAGATTAAGGCATTAAGTACAGAGAATAAAAAAAAAACAAATGCATTAAGTACATATGAGAAATAGGATGCGCATAAATGCATAATACGATTCTCTGATATTTTTGAAGAAAACTAATTTATTATTTCCGTATTTAGAAAAGTGTATAAAAAATATTTTTAATAATACGACTTAGTTCTATATTCAAAAAGAGAATATTTAATTAATAATATCTTTAATATAGTAGGTATTTAATACGAATAATATATTTTATTATGTCTTTATTTAACGAAAAAATGCCAGGGAATTAAAAAATAAAAGAATATTTTTTTATTATTGAATTGTATTTTCAGACAATTGGCTATTCTTTCAAAAATAAAAATAAATTAATTTAATCAAATATATATATATATATATATATATATATATATATATAAATATATGGGAAAAAGACTTCTCATGTTGCCTAAGAAGTCTCTTCTCCTACCACTCTCACTTCGATGTCCGTACCAATCACTTTTTATTTTTTATTTTTCCTTTAAGGTAGACCTCACCGCTTTCTCTCTATAGAAAAACTTGAATTTTTTATGTAACATGAAAAATTGCAAGCTCTATATATATATATATATATATATTAACAAAAATTTAAACGAGGTTAGATACCAATATTCTTCTAGGGTCATAAATGACCTCCCAATTACTTTAAGAATTGTAAGAGGAATTATATATTATCTATTAACAAAATCTTCGTATCAAACTGCAAAATTTAAGCGAGGTTAGATACTATTATTCTACTAGGGTCATAAATGACCTCCCAATTACTTTAAGAATTGTAGGAGGAATTATATATTATCCATTAACAAAATCCTCGTATCAAACTGCAAAATTTGAATCCACACCCTTATAGAAAATATTATATTTTAACATTTATATTTGAAAGAAATACGTACCCTTCTACTAACGATATATTATATACTGAAGTTAATGTCCCCTTCCTGCGCGCGCTGTTATTGACAATGATTTATCACACTTAGCTGGCCTTGTCCTGTCCCCGGGTATCCTTACGTGTTATTACACTATGACTACACTAAAAGTCTAAAATAATAAACTCTGTCGAAATTCAAAACAGCTTGCGGCACACTCCCGTTGAATTTGGTTACCAATTGGTGAGAATAGCAAAACAGCAACGCGTCATCAATATAATGTAGCTGGCACCTATACCAGTTATAATTTGACTTTACCACTACGCCCGCTCCCTCTCTTTATTTTGTCTCCTTCCGTTCACCTTCCTTCTCATATCCCCTCTTACTATATATACATATCACCACTTCTTTCTTTTGCATCAACTCATCTTTCTAAGTTACAACTTCTCACTTCTTACACTTTCTTCTTTGCGCGCGCTCTCTCTCTCTCTCTATATATATATACAAAAAACAAATGGCCTCTTTTATATCCTCATCTGTTCTCTTGACCCTTTTTCTCACAATTTCCCTACTTCATTTGAGCTCAGGTAGGAAACTCGCTGAGTCAGATCAGCAGTTGCAATTCAAATACCACAAAGGCCCTCTCCTGACTGGCAAAATCTCTGTCAACCTCATTTGGTATGGCAAATTCAACCCATCCCAGCGAGCCATCATTGCAGACTTCATCACATCACTCTCCTCTCCCAAACCCATCACCACCGCATCACAATCACAACCAACCGTGGCAACATGGTGGAAGGCCACGGAGAAATACTACAACCTCATCAACTCCAACAAGTCACCCAAGCTAGCCCTCTCCCTCGGTTCCCAAGTCATCGACGAGAACTACTCTATGGGCAAATCCCTCACTGATGACCAAATCGTGAAGCTCGCATCAAAGGGTCCCCAAAAACAAGCCATCAACGTGGTTCTCACAGCCGCAGACGTAGCCGTTGATGGGCTCTGCTCCAGCAGGTGTGGGACTCACGGTTCCTCGATGGGTGCACGCGTGAATGGGAAGAGGTACAGATTCGCATACATATGGGTGGGTAACTCGGAGACTCAGTGCCCTGGCCAATGCGCGTGGCCATTCCACCAACCCATATACGGTCCCCAGAGTGCACCATTGGTTGCACCAAACAACGACGTTGGTATCGACGGAATGGTCATCAACGTGGCAAGTCTGTTGGCTGGGACTGCAACAAACCCATTCGGGAATGGGTACTTCC